TATTTTTTGTTTAATTTCAAATTTCATTATTTTGGGTTTCTTCTTTCCTTGTGTCCACCAAACAAATAATTGGTTCGATTGAATCGTGCAGTTTCCTCAAGCAACAAAACTCTTACCATTAAACCACACTTTCTCAACTCTTATCCTCTTCGCAATTGTGTTTGTGGTTCACGAAATAAACCAAGGCATCTTCTTTTTCCTTTTAAGCTTTATTTAGCCATGTGTTTTTCCAATGTGGTACACGTTTGCTGATGTTGTCAATGCTCTGGTTTTGAGCATCTTTTATTGGCAACTAGGATTTGATTTTCAGAAAAAAAAATATATAGTTTACCTTACAATTGAGGGTCAATACAAAATAAAAACATGATTTTCTATAATATTTGTGATGCAGACAAGGTTGAGGCTTCTTGTCTTTTATTCATTCTAACGAAAGGGTGATTGGTGCCAAAGACTGTTCAACATATTATCTGCTGACGCTTCTTTGATGAAGTAGAAGAAGAAGTAAGACGACTTTTGGCTACCAGAGATATCTCTAAGCCATAAGACACAAAAGTTTGTCGTCTCAAGCATTTCTGGGATCATCAATCGAGTTTTTGGTCAACTATGAACATGAATCAAGTTTTAGAGTATGTGGAAACTGATCCAACTGGTCGCTACGGACGTGTAAGTAGCGAGACAGACTCTATGTTCAACTATGGATCAAACCCTTTTTTTTGTAACACTTAGTTTTATGGTTGAACAGTTTGGAGAAGTTCTTGGAAGGGGAGCGATGAAGACAGTGTACAAAGCAATCGACGAGATGCTTGGAATAGAAGTAGCGTGGAGCCAAGTGAAGCTAAAAGAGGTTCTTCGTTCCTCTGTTGATCTACAGAGGCTCTATTCCGAGGTTCATCTCCTTAGCACTCTCAACCACAAATCCATCATTCGTTTCGACACTTCTTGGATCGATGTTCAATCCCATACTCTCAACTTCATCACCGAGCTGTTCACTTCTGGGAGCCTCCGACAGTAATTCAAATTGCACTTTTTCTTCTGACAAGATTACTCTGTTTTTGCTCTGTATGACCTTGTCCTGTTCTTGTGTAGATACAAAAACAAGTACCTGCGGATAGATATCCGAGCAATCAAGTCGTGGGCTCGGCAGATCTTGGAAGGGCTTGTTTATCTCCATGAGCACGACCCTCCTGTTATCCATAGAGACCTTAAGTGTGATAATATCTTTGTCAATGGGCATCTTGGACAAGTTAAAATTGGCGATCTTGGTCTTGCAAGAATGCTGCGGGACTGCAACTCTGCCCATAGTGTCATCGGTATGTTGCGAAAGCTGTTTGTTCTCGCTTGTTGTCCGAATCATATCCTTAGACCTCTTTTGTGCTTCTTTTGCATAGGCACTCCCGAGTTCATGGCTCCAGAATTATATGAGGAGAACTATAATGAACTCATTGACGTCTATTCCTTTGGTATGTGCTTTCTGGAGATGGTCACCTCTGAGTTCCCGTATAGCGAGTGCAACAACTCGGCGCAGATTTACAAGAAAGTTAGCTCGGTATGTCTTTTCATCTGTGAGCATATGGATGAAGGTATCAGTTCAACCAGGCATGAGCTTTCTAATTTTTTCTTTCCAGGGAAAGCTACCAGGAGCCTTTTACAGAGTTGGAGACGTCGAGGCACAGAGGTTCATCGGGAAATGTCTTGTGCCTGCCTCAAAGAGAGTATCAGCAAGAGAACTATTGCTTGATCCATTTCTCGCATCTGATGAGTCATGGATGGTGTACGCGAGAGGTGCTCGGAATCTAAAGCCCTTCTTGAATGAGGATGAAATGGACAGACTGAAGTTGGAAGATGATGAGTTAGGAAGGACCCAAATGACCATCACTGGGAAGCTGAATGCTGAAGATAACACAATCTTTCTGAAAGTACAAATTGAAGATGAAAATGGTAATAGGGTACTACTGATCTGATTAAGCTGGATCATTTTGTTGTTCAGTCACAGAATTGTTCTTTTTTTTTCCTAGGTCCGCCAAGAAACGTGTACTTTCCCTTTGACATCATGAATGATACTTCCATTGATGTTGCGATGGAGATGGTAAAAGAACTCGATATCAGAGATTGGGAGCCAGTCGAGATTGCCAAAATGATTGATGGAGAGATCTCTTCTTTGGTACCTGAGTGGAGGTATGAGGAAGATGATGAAAACCCTCATGATTATCATCGTCATCGTACCACTCCTTTTCACTCTTCTTCCTCGCATTCATCATCCTCTCAAGCTTCACTCTCTAACTATATGGCACGAGGCCGTCAAGATTGGCTACAAGGTATGGTAAATAAAACCAGATTTCACATGTGTAGTGTGTGATTCAGATGTTTTATACAAAAAAAAAAGGTTTTTGAAATGAAAATTAAAACTGCAGATGATTTTCATGATGAGACGTATTCTCAGAGTTCTTCCAATTCAGGGTCTTACTCAAACCTCAACTACATATCTGTGGATGAGCACAGCTGCCAACCTCCTGCTATGAACAGAACTCACAACGTGACGAGGTTTTGCCCCGAAGAAAGCTCTCATCTACAGTCAGGACAAGCCAACATGTATGCAGCTTCCAGTTCGAGTAACGCGAGATTGGCATCAGAAAACCGCAGTCTTACAAGGAACCGGTCACTTGTAGACGTGCAGAGCCAGTTACTGCACCGATCACTGGTGGAAGAGGCGAGAATAAGAAGGTTGATCAAAACCGTTGGAGACGTAGAAACAGTTGGGTTTCAGTCACCTTATGTGGTTTCCCGGAAGCCACGGAGATCAAGGCGCTAGCTTCTTTCTCCAGTATATAGAATAATACTGTAAATTCATTCATGTAATATCACAAATATACTGTGAAAAAAACAAACTTGCTAGTTCAAAAAATGTAAAAAGTTACATGTCTTTAATAAAAGTTGTGCAAAGATTGCGTTTGGGTGTCAAAACAGAACACACTCCTCTGTAAATAACCTTAAAATTTTCTAGCAAATACTAACTCCAAAAAAAAATGTAAAAGAGAGGAACACAATGTGGTTTCAGTCACCTTATGTGGTTTCCTCAAAGCTACGGAGTTCAAGGCTATGTTATATCTAAGTGTAATGTGAAAAACAAATTTGCTGGTTCAAAAATGTATAAAGGTACATTTTGTTTCCATACAGTTGTGCAAAGGCTTCATGTGAGGTGAGTCAAATGAAACCATGTTTTCTCGAAAGCCTTGATGATAATGTCATGATACTCGCTCGAATTCAGCGAAAGATAACAAGCGAGAAGATCTTCCAGGTCTTTTTGTTCCTTCATCTTGTTCTCAACGATCATCTCAACCATGGATTCTCTGAAATCTCTCTCCGGATCCACCGATGTCAAAACTATCGCGAAACTCTTTGGAATTCCCTTCTTCTTTGATTCCGGGGATGTTCTTGCCTTTGTCTTCTTTCTCGCGATCTTTGGAGAATTCGCCCGAATCCTTATCCCTGAAGAACCAACAGCTTTTGGTTTCTTCAGTTTCTGTTGTGTCCTTATTTCAAAAGATGGTTCCTTTACAGTCTCAACCAGAACAAGATTCAAATTTTCTGAGAGTAAAAGATCTTCAGAGACATCATTGAGCTTCCTCGCAGAGTGATCCTCCTTGATGTCAATCGAATGCGATTCAGGATCACGAGAAAAGCCATGGCTTTGGTCAGAAGGAGATGACTCAGGATAGCTTCCAACGGTGGAATCAGAGATTGCATTTTCAGAGGAATGGTTTATAGAAGAAGTGATAGAAACATGAGAGTTGAGAGAAGGCTCTAGAATGATTGCATTTGCAGAGGATGATGATTTAGAGCGATGATTCCGAGAAGTGGTGAGAGAAACATTAGAGTTGAGAGAGGAAGAAGAGAGCTTGAGCCTTGAGGAAGGCTTGTAAACGGTTTTACGTTTGATTTTTCTCTTGA